CTGTAAACAAACGTCCTTTCCCCAGTTTACTTGGTGCCATACTTTCCACATTTTCGTGCTTTTCATTGGTGATTCTGATGTTTTATGCAGCCCCTAAGTATGGGCTGAAGTGCTCTCCAGGGTTCCTAAGTGCGGAAGGCTGCCACAAGCCTTATGGAGAAAATCTGTGCACTACACAATCTTTGTTGCGGCACGAGTTATGGGGCTGTCGGCCGTGAGTTCAATGTTAATGAATTAACTATACACATCACAAGGTGCCTTTGCATAGAAACACACATAGAACAAGGTTATGTATTGATTAGTTAATGAGAACACTGCCACCAGGGGCAGGACCCAGACCCATCCTCCCTCAGGAGCAGTGAGTCCGTATTCTCTGACTGCGTGTTCACCAGGACTTTACAGACCATGACCACCACCATCACCAAGAGTAGACAGTGTCTTGTTGCGGGACACTAAACAGAGCGTCGGTGTGGACTGGAAATTATGTGCAGCTTTTCTAGCCAGATGCCACTCAGGAGACACATGAGCCGGGGACATCTCTCCCTCCTGGGACTGTCCCCCTCCAAGCAATAGGACTGACTGTCACAGTGAAGATTCACCAGTGAATGACAAGGAAAGCAAGAAACTGCTCACTGGGATGTGTACAGACGTGCGCCCAGGCCCTAGTGAAGCATCTGGGGCGGAATTCAAGGCTCCACACTGTCACCTCAGATGAAGTAGGAGAAGGTAAGTGAAGCAAATCATTATTACCTTCAGTCATTTAACTCACTGGCATTATTCTCACCCCAAACCTCTCAAGGACATTATTTGAATATCAAAGGGAAATTTAAGAATAACATAAAATATTTTCAAGCAAAATTTCCAAGGTGTGTTTCCTTTATATCCTTGACAAGTGTTCCGAGATCTTTTGGTCCATAAAATGTTTTTACTACGATTTCAAATGTGCAATTAAAGGCACAGGTGCTTTCTTAGAGCTGGCTGCTGAAAGTTAAGAAGAAGCACCGAGAGAACCCATCTAATTCCAGGGATGACAGATGCTGTGCTTGTCTGCTTACTGTTTGCTGGCTGCCGGCAGACACACAGGAGCAGCAGCAAAGTTTTCCCCAAACCTGAAGACATACTCGTCCTCTGATAATTACGTTCCGATAGCATCTCTGTTCAGTAAGATG